AATGTAGAGAAAATAATTGCGGTTTTTTTGAGCTATAGAACTCCTAGAAATGTCAAAAACTGAAAGAGGAGATAGATTTTTTCTGTAAAAAACTTTCAAAAATGACCATTTTTGACATTTTTTCTTCCGGAAAACGACCATACATGAATCTATAACCACTAATTAATTTTTTAAGAATTATTTGAATTATCTTGGAACTCCACAAAAATCAGATAAAAAAAATCTGAAATTATGGTTTTAGACCTGCAATTGTGATCGCGCCAAACTTTTTTGCTGTAGATCAAAAATTAATTTGCAGTTCGGAATTGTTCTGTGGGAGAGCGTGCTAACATAAATATATTTAAACATAAATTTTTAAAAATAATTGTTTACAAATTTTCGGAATCTTCAAAAATCTTCAAAAAAAGGAAAATTGATGATTTTACAGAATTTTGTTGGAAAAATCCAAATTTTTGAGAAGACGAACATTTATTTTCTTACAGATTGAGTTATAATAAAATTTCAGGAATCATAAATCTATTGAAACATTATTTTTTGTTTAAAAAATTCTAATTTTTTTCTCGAATTGTAAGTTTTTTCATCTTTTGCTTAAACTGATTGAAACCCAAATTAAACCAAACCTTATCTTTCTGCATTGCCTTATATTCGTTGGCTTTTTCACATGGAATGTAGATGGCATTTGGGAAGCTGAAAAAGTACAGTAATCCAGAATAAAATTTAAAAATTGAAACTCACAGATCCGGAGTGGAAGCCAGATTTTCAGTGGTGGTGCTTCTGAAAAATGATATTTTTTGACATTTTTGAAAATTTAAAATTTCAAAAAAAAAATTTAAAAAACTAAATTTCGGTTTTTTTTGTGATCTTAAAAAATTTATCTGAAAAATTTCCAAAATCCGGACTCACCCATCATAATAATTGTCCGAAGGATAACTTCCGGAGACCACCGACGGTGTACATGGCTTGTTCATCGCTGCCGGTGGGAAGTAGCTAGAATTAAAAAAAAGAGAAATGGATTACTGTAGGTAGTCAACATACAACTTGCGAGTTTTAGCAGAATCGGAAGGCGTACGAATCGTGGCTTTTGGCACCTTATTGGAACGAATCGAGTTGACAGAGATGGTCTTGCGGGTCTCGTACGACGTGCATGAGAGTTCTGGAAACTTGAGAAAATAAAAAATTATTTTTTCAATCTTAAAATTCTGAAAATCCTAATAAACCTTAATTTATTATACGGACCTTTTTGAATACGTTTCTGAATTCTTCTGAAGTTTTCAAGTTTTGATTTTTTTTTCAAAGTTTTTAAAAGTTTAAAAATCTGATAAAACAAAAAATTTGCAGCCTTTCTGTCCAAATTTCATCTTTCTAGCGTTTCTGGGAGCCGAGATAAAGCGCTCTGAAGTTTAGAATGTTAGAGACGCAGACAACGAGACGCTCTCGCTGTCTGCGTCTCTCCTAAACGTTAAACGATTATATTTTGAGTTGTTAGAACTCTAGGAAAGTGGTTTTTTGGGACAGAAAAATAGTTTTTCCTGTCTACAGTAAGGGTAATCGTATCTACACACCAGGGGGCACTTTTCACATTTTTAAAGGAAACTGTTTCACACAGTTTTTCCCGTGACATTTTAAAATAAGAGCCCATAAAAATGAGACACGTGGATCCACAGTATTCGCATGATGCGAATTAGAGTGAATTCAAATTTATTCCCCTAAATAGATAGAGAGATAGTACCTCAAAAGTCGAATCAGTATTAGCGTAAAACCTATATTAGAAGTGCCCCTTTGACTACCTCCTTTGATTTTCAGCCGTTTTTTCCGTTGTTTTGATTGAATAATCTTCTGATTTTAAAAATACTGGCACCTCAGAGATGAATGCCGTTACTCTAATACAGATTTTTTTCTCGTTCGAACAATTTTCGCAATCAAGCTTGGAATTTCGATTTAAAGGTGGGGGGGACATGAAAAAATAATGTTCTCGAAATTCCATTTGAATATGCCCCTCGAGGAGTTGAACTTGTGAGGGCGATGATTGAGGGTGCGGCGCCGCTAACGACTGAGCCACGCGGGCAAAGAGAAAGCGCACGCCCGATTGCATACATAAAGGCGAGGACGACAGCTGTACGCAGAGTGACATTAAGCGTTGTACACCGTCACGGCAGAATGCATACTTTAGGTACAAAAAAAAACTACGAAAAATCTCCTGTCCCCCCACCTTTAAAAAATTCTAGAAATTCTAGCGACCAAAATGTTACCAAGATCATAATGTTATCAGAACATCCAACTAAACTCAAAGAAATCAATTTCGTTTGATACAATGGCGGATTCAAAGACGAGGCCTCGTAAACCGACACGAACGGCGTCCGCGAAATTTTCAGGTGCCAGGTTTTTAAAATTTGACAATATTGGTGTTTTTGCTAATTTTTATGTAGAAATTGTAACGGATTTTTAGTAGAAAAAACGATATTTTCACTGAAAAAGGATGTCCTCCAATAGAATATCTGTTCTCGAGGACTCACGAAAAATACAAGTCCTCCCTCTAATTAAAGGGTACCTCTAATTCCTAGGGACCCCAAGAATAATAGAAAGACCGGCCCTTCTAATACAGGTTTTACGGTCACCTATTATTAGGCTATAACAATCGAAAATATTTTCATTTCTAGGGCCTAACTCAAAATTCTGTTCAAGCCGTTGATAGAATTAGGATCTTTTGATTATGTTAAAAAAAGAGTTTGGCTGTTTTCATCAAGTTTGACCATAGATATGCCCTATTACATGTCAAAATTTTGATTTTTTCAAAGTTGCAATTTTAAGACATATTACGGCATTCGAATAATTGACTTTTTATGTTGCAGAATAATATTTTAAACATTTAAACCAACTATATGCATGTAAAAATCACAAAAAGAAGTATGGCCGTAGTCATACCGACCTTCGAGGACAACGAATTCAAAGCAGCCAAGTGCCAAAAATCTACATTTTTTGGCATAACTTGTGTGAGCATGATTTCCCCCGGGATATTGATATGTTTCTATAGTAAATCAAACGTGCTGAGTTCAATGGTCATAATAAGAAAAAAGTTAACTTGGGATTTTTGAGATATTGAAAAATTTTTTCGGTTTTTTCAAAAAATCAATAATCCAATCAATGAAAAAAAAATCAAAAATTTTTTTTCCCAAAGATCAATAAATTGTCAAGTTATGATTTTTTGAAAATCTAGCCATTTTTTGGTTTTGGGCCATAACTCTCAAAAAAAATTTTTATCAACTATTCCTTTTGGATTCTAAAATAACTTTTTACGCTCTTTCCAACCATCTAGGTCTCAATTTTTTTCAAGGGTAACACTTGGGAGTCATTCCATGTTAGCCTTCAAAAAAACGTTTACCGCACACACACACACACTCTTAAAAATCAGGCTTAGAAAAAAAATACCGTAAAACCTGTATTAGAAGGGCCTCTTTAATAGAAGGGTCCCTCTAATAGAAGGGCCCTCCGAGAGGGGCTTGGAAAAATACAAGGGCCCCCTTTAATAGAAGGGCCTCCTGTAATAGAAATACCTTCTGTGAAAAAGGACCTCTTTTCAAAATGTGTTTTGAAATCCGAAAATTTCCGTACTTTTTCGGTGGAAAATATTCGGAAACTCCACAATTGAATAGAAATTTGTTGAAACTCTATTTTTCGATGAAAATCTTGCTAATCTAAGAATCTTGAAATCGGCAGATTTCATGAATTTTGAACGAAATTTCGTCGAATTTTTCGAAGCAAAAATTCGGAAAAACAACTGGCCGAAAAAATAGAAGGGCTCTCTCTAATTGAAGGTCCCCTGTAATAGAAGGGTCCTCTGGAAGTACCTTAGAACAATAGAAGAGCCGGCCTAATACAGGTTTTACGGTGATAAAAGTAGGCTCAGCCCTTAAAATGTAAGCTTAGAACCCTAAATTAATGGATACAAAAAAACAAATCCGTCTGAAAGTCAAATTAGTCCTTTAAAGTTACTTCAGCCATTAAAAAGTATGTTTAGAGCTTGAAAAGACATTTACAAAATGTGGAAAAAGTCCCTAGAAAATTCTGAATAGCTATGCGAAAAAGTTCCCTTTTCTGGCAATACTTGAAGTTTGTTTTCTGAGTTTTCGAATCCCAATTTATGAAAACATTTTTGAATTTTTACAGAACATATGTCTCTCAATCGATTCCGGAATATTTTTTACACATTTATGAAAGTTATGTTTTTCCAGTTTAGAATATTCGAAAAACTATCCCAATAATTTTTTTAATTTTTCAAATTAGTCCTTAAAAGTAGGAATAATTCCTTAGAAAATGCCTATGCAGAAAAACAATTTCCCCTTCATTTTTCTGAACAGTTGGTAATGTTTTTCCAGTTTCGGAAACTCCAAAAACTAGCCCAAGAATCATTTTAATTTAAAATAAAAAAATTCCTCTCTCAAATTCTCTGCTCACATCAACAAAATCACATCTTTAGCTCTTCTCCGTTCCAAACAACTCTTAAAGTCATTTAGATCTAAGTCTCCAGAATTCTACATTCATCTTTTCAAATGTTATGTTCTCCCGATTCTTGAATATTGTTCTGTAGTTTATTCCCCTCCGCCTTCTTCTCGCCTTGCTCTAAAACTAGAATCCCCCTTAAGATTTTTCTCTAAGTGTATTTTCCAGCGTTGTAATATCCAGTACAGCTCCTATTCTGATCGTCTCTCTATCCTCAATATGTTCTCCATTCGACATCGTAAGCTAAAAGCTCAACTAATTCTTCTCTATAAATTTTTAAATGGCTCCGCCTACTTTCCTAACCTAAATGCACATGTCAAATACTCCTCCTCCCCTCGTCGCCCTATGAACTTAATTATTGTTCAGCCCTACTCCTCTGACTATTTTTCTTCAATTGTTCCCCTGTGGAATGCCATCACTTCCCAAGTTACCCGATTTCTCCTACCTTCCGAGTTTGAATCCTTAATGTCTTCCAGTATTACCCGTTATTGATATATTTGCTCCCTATTTTTCTTTTTCTACCGGTTACATCTTTTCTGTGTCAAATATCTAAATTATCCCGTTTCCCCTCCCCTACTCAGATCGGCCTCGTGAGGGGCATTTTTTCTGAGTCTTTCATGTCCTGCCCTCTAATGTTTTATTACACCTGATCAATAAACAAAATTAATTAAAATCAGAAATTCGAAAAAAAAGAAAAATTTGAGTTTAAATTTTAAAAACGTGAGGTATATAATAACCATCGAAACTTCATCTAACGTGCTCCCGATTAGCCTAGTGGTTAACAGGGATGAATTTGAATCAACTGTCGTTGGTTCGAGTTCTCCCCAGAGCCTAGTGGTTTTGTCAGAGTACAGTAATCGGGGCAAATCGGGAACAAAACACGGGAAATGCCCCCTGGTGTGGCGATACGATTGCGTCTACAGTAATCCCTTTAACCTGTCGACTTGCTGACAACCGACGATGACGTCGACATCTCATCGTCCTTCTGAATCTTCATTTCTTTGAGAATATCGGCGGCTTGTTGAAGTGTCGCCTCGACTTGAGCGTCAATTCGTTTGTATGCATTGTCTGCTCCGAATACCATTTTTCTGGAATTTTCAGATTGTTTTAGATTTTCAGAATTTTCAGCAAACTCACAATGTATCGATGTTTCTTCTCGAAATACCCAAGAGAATGGACAGTGAGTTGGATTATTTGAAACTGAGGAACTTTTGGAGTTCGCGGTGGCGGTTGGATTTCTTTTTTGGGGGATCTGGTGAGCCAAAATTAGTTAACAGTTCACGTGGTTACTGTAGCTGCTTTTATTTTTACGTGTATTACTGTAAGCTTCATGTGTTACATTAATCCAATTAAAAGACCTAATTTATAAGACGAAATAAATTATTAGAAGACCTAATTTATAAGACGAAAATCACCTAATTTATAAGACGAAATACGATGGTTTAACGTCTAGGAGAGACGCAGACTCGCTGACAGTGTCTCGTTGTCTGCGTCTCTAACTTCCTAAATTTCAAAGCGTTGATCTCGGCTCCTAGAACAGCTATAAAGATGAAATCTAGACAGAATTATTGAAAATTTTCACTTCTATGTGGTTCCAACAAAATCTGCCAACTTTCTAATTTTCAAATGAAAAAAAAATTGTTACCTAGTTTTCTTGATCTCGAATGAGAAGTACTTCTTAACTTTCACCTAATTAATCTCACTATCTGTAAACGATATCAAGAAGTGATCAATTGATAAAATTATCATGATAACATGGTTAACATTTTGGTAGTTGCCTATTTTTTGATATCTCTTACAGGAGTCGAGATGAATGGACTCAAAGTTGACAGTAAATTTCTACTGCAGTTTTTACAGTATTCCGGGAAACATGTGGTTTTTTACAAAACTCAAAGAAAACTGTTTCTCTATGACGAAAAGTTTTTAAACCTGAAAAGTATGATAGCACTGGCGAAACAGCAATTTCAAAAATACCGAATTCAAACATTTGCGAAAATCACGAAACGCGATGATAACTGTTATCACAATGAAAAGAAGTGAATAGCATCCTGGTAGATTTCGAAAACTAAGTTCATAAAAATATCTGTTTCAACGAATCGAGTAATACTGACGTCATGAAAGCACTATGTTCAAATTGGTAAAGTAGTTTGTTTCTGTTAACGTTGAATTAATCTTGAAGGTTTTCAAATGTCTGAAATCGACCCACGGACATTGACACACTGGAAAAAACTGTTTCATTTTGTCGATTTATCAAGTTCGAAGATTTTTAAATCTGTACATAGTTCAACGATTTTGACACAAAACTTGTTATGCGCCAACAACAATGCTCCGCCCACAATTTTGCAATCCTGCAGCAAAAGGTGCTTCAACTACTACAACCGTACTTCAACTTTGAGATCAATTAACTCTGTTACTGAAAGAGATACCAAAAATCTGTAAACTGAAAAAATGTTTGTCATAATATTAACAACACTTTATTAGTTGACAAAATTTTGATATCACTTTCAGAAATTAAGATAATTGAGCTTGAAGGGCGGCCCTGTATTTTTCGGTTTTATGCCACATTTGCACAAAGAGCAGCTTTCAAATATGAAGATTTATGAAAAATTTCAAGAGAAGACAATAAGTGTAATAAGTTAAACAATTTGTCACATAGGAAGAAGATGAGGGAAGGGATTTGATTTTGAATGTATCTTTAAAAGTCGGAATTTTGAAAAATTAGAAACAAAAAGAGACATACGAAATGTTGAAAAGCATATACGCAGTTGGGAAGAATATTTTGCTGAAAATGAGATTTTATGTTGGCGGAAGAATTTTAACGAAATTTGAAATCCGAACTATTTTCACAGTTTCATTGAAACGGTAAAATTTAAAAATTTTCATAGGTTTCAATTTGAGAAGCTTTTCTTCCGAATTTTTTTCCACGAATATTTGATATTGTCTATTCAAAATAATCGCGCGGATGAACGAGTAAAAAAACGTGTAGAGAGTCTCAAAACCTGTAGAGGCACTGTAGAGACGCAGGCATTTACACTCGTTCACTCGCGCGATTATTTTGAATAAACAATATAAGAAGGAGCGATTTTCAAAATTTTCAATTTTCATCCCAAATCACTTCGATTTCCAAAATTTCTGTGAAGTTTCAGTAATTTCGCATTCTCTTTGCGGAGCGAAAAAAATGTTCAAATTTACATAAAAAACGATAAAGCCTTTTCGAGTAGTAATTCCTGTACTTGCAATAGAATTTTTTCGATACACAAATATATATTTATTCGGTGATAAAAAAGAACACTTGATGCACAGAAATTGAAGGCTTCGAATTCTGGGAATTTGGAAATTTTACGTGATTCACAGAAATTGAACGTTGCAATTTCTGGGATTTTTCACAGAACTCGAACGGTTCGAGTTCTGGGATTTTGGAAATTCACGTGATTCACAGAACTCGAAGCTTTCAATTTCTGGGATTCTGGAAAAGCATGGGGGGGGGGGGGGTAGGGATTCAAGAAGGGTCGTGATAAAGCAAAATGAATATTAGGAAACTATCGTTGGACTTGTTGTTTTCCATAAAACGGATCCTTCGAGCTTGAAGATAATTTTTCGAATGTGAGCTCTCTGTTGGCTGAAAAACTAGTTGAAAATTCTGAGTCGCATTGGAAGGGTTGAAGTAAAAATATAAATACAAAGCTTAAAACTTACCTTTGTCACATACAGTACTTTTAAATGAAATTGATCGAGATAGTGGAAAATTTT